AGTTCGTCCCAGGTCATCAAGATCGAAAGTACTCAAAGCCAAACCACCAGCAGCATAGTTCTGAAAGGAATGTGACCGCAAAGCACATCACTCAGTGGGATTGACCAGCGCAGAGCGCCTTATCCGGTTTTGTAGCAGATACTTGTTACTGCACTGTAACCTCCACCTGCCATCCCTCGATGCTCACTTTCGTTGCTCACAAATCCCACGCGATTATTGTCACACTTTGTGAACGTAATGTGACATTTGCTTATCGAATGTGTCGACTGTAGACCTAAGGCAAGGAAGAGTTGGGCGGGGTGCACTACACTCCCGCCTCCGTCCTGATTCGGGAAGGGGCGAGCGAGTGGGGCTAGATCGAGGCCGTGCCTACAAAAGGCGCGTTTGTGGACCGTTAGCGACGCAGTCCACCATGGAGTCCGATGGACGCACCAAGGCTTATAAGTTTGTCGCTTATGCGGCCGTTTCGTTCTCAGTGGTCGCCGTCCTATCGGTCGTTCTAACTCTTCCCATGGTTTATAACTATGTTAGCCATGTTAGGCGTCAAATGCAGCACGAGATCTCATTCTGTAAGGTAGGTGGAAACCACTCATTCGTTTTGTTATTTACTTTATCGAATTTACTTTTCGTTTACTCGTTCATACCTTTCTTTGTCATTTTGTGACCATTTTAGGGATCCGCTAAGGATATCTTCGCTGAGGTCAACTTCATGAAGGCCAACGCCGGCCCTGCTGCCCCTCGCAACCGTACCAGCCGTCAGTCTGGTTATGGCGCACCTGAAGTTAACCCTGCACCAAACCTTCAATGCGAGGGTTGCTGTCTGCCTGGCCCACCTGGACCAGCAGGAGTCCCCGGAAAGCCCGGAAAGCCTGGTCGCCCAGGAGCACCTGGAACTCCCGGAGTGCCCGGAAAACCACCCACTGCTCCATGTGAGCCCACAACCCCACCACCATGCAAGCCTTGCCCACAAGGACCACCCGGACCTCCAGGACCACCTGGATCACCCGGAGACCCAGGAGAGGCTGGTACCCCTGGACGCCCTGGAACTGATGCCGCCCCTGGATCACCTGGACCTCGTGGACCTCCTGGACCAGCTGGAGAGCCTGGACAGCCTGGACCCGCTGGAGAGCCCGGAACACCCGCACAAAGCGAGCCACTCACCCCTGGAGCACCTGGAGAGCCCGGAGACCAAGGTGAGCTCATCAAAATTTAATGATCACTGGAATTGTTAGCTTTGAAGATTACCCGGTCTTCTTACTCATTTTCATTCCGAAATATCAAAATCTGCTTTTCAGGACCACCTGGACCACCTGGACCACCTGGAGCCCCAGGAAACGATGGAGCTCCCGGACCTGCTGGACCCAAGGGATCCCCAGGACCCGATGGACCACCAGGAGCCGACGGACAGGCCGGCCCACCTGGACCACCTGGACCTGCTGGAACCAGCGGAGAGAAGGGTATCTGCCCCAAGTACTGCGCCATCGACGGTGGAGTCTTCTTCGAGGACGGAACTCGTCGTTAAAGCAATCGCGTCGGGATACGGTAGACGATGTCAAACTACGTCGTGCCGTCATCACTTCATCGTTGTTGTACGTAGTGTTCACGCAATCGACATAATTTATTTGAATAATAAAAGGTCATCACTGAGGAAAACTCTCAAAGGAAACAACAAGCTAGTCAAAAGTATAAACTACCAGTTATAATGGTCACCGTTAACTTGCTTTTATTTTAATGATAACAACAGAACGCTAGCGAAAACGAAATTGTAATGAAGGCCCTGCTAATTTAGCTCGGGGAGGGGGGGGACCACGCGGTGGAGCGATGCTGTACTTGTCTGCAACTCTGAGGCTTAGTCACGGGGCCGTTACTATTTCGCCACATTGTAGAAGTTTCGAAATAAC